TGGAATGTTTCGTGGGGTGTCTCGTGGACTGTTTCGCGGGGTGTCTCGTGGAATGTTTCCAGGAAAACGTTGAAAACGGTCGCCCGTGTCTCGTGGAATGTTTCGCGGGGTGTCTCGTGGAAGTGCCCGTCGCCCAATACGGTGTCGTGAAAACGTTTCCATGCATGCGGTTCTATATCCCTTTCCGGGTTCGTGGGTCCATCATGTTTTGGGGGGGGGTCGGCGTCAGGTGTTCGGCGCCCCAGTTCTTTTCGGCGCTCTTTTGTTTTTCGGTGTTTCTGTGGTTTTTGGCGCCCCTTTGGTTTTCGGTGCTCATTTGATTTTCGGCGCTCTTTTGATTTTCGGAGCCTGTTAGGTTTTCGGCGTACCTTCAGTTGTCGTTTCCCTTTCGGTTTTCGGCGTTCCTTCGGTTTTCGGCGCGCCTCTGGTTGTAGGCTTTCTTTCGGTTTTCGGTGGCCCTTTGGTTTTTGGTGTTCTGTTGGTTTTCGACGCTCTTTTGGTCTTCGGAGCACCTTCCTTTAGTCCAAGGGGGGGGGGGCTTCCAAGCCCCCCGCTTTAGCCAAAAAGGGTGGGAGGGGGGAGGGGCTTCCTGCAGGGGGGGTTCAAAGGGGGGTGGGGGGTAGCTAAGCCTTCCCCAATTTGGAAAGGGGGGGTGGGAGGGGTAGCTTCCGAGAGCCAGGAAAAACCGGGGGGGGGCTTCGGGCAGGGGGTCTAAAAAGGGGGAGGGGGAAGCTAAGCACCCCCTCCTTTTGGAAAGGGGGGGAGGGGGGGGGGAGTTTCCGGAGCGCGAGAGGTGGGAGTGGGGGGGCAGCTTCCGAGGGGCAGAGAAAAAGGGGGGGAGTAGGAGGGGGGCTTCGGGCAGGGGAGGTCAAAAGGGTGGGGGGGGGTAGCTAGGGGGGGGACAGTGTCCCACGGGTGCGCCCTCTCATGCCTAAGTCAAATTTCTGTTGGACGCAGCACATGCGGTCGGGAGCTTCTGGGCAGCGTGTAGCTCCGCTGGTTCTGGCCCACCACGCTTTGGCGCGACAGACTATCCACTTCCCAGTCCCAAAGCGTCAACTTCCCGAGCTTTTCTGAGCCTCCGCCTCGCGGAGCACAGCGACACGCAATCCGCTTGCAGGACGCCGCGTGTCGCCGGGGCCGCCGCGGCTATACGCTATCTGGCAGTTCCTGACCATATCTCCTCTCATGGTGGTCATGAGCCGCTCGCAGAGGTTAGCGCTCGCCTCGCTGCTGGGCTCGCCGTCTTTTCGGGGCCCTCCTCGATCCTCTAGGGTCGCTGGCAGAGCTCGACAGATCCCCTCGCCTTGAGCGTGGCGCCGGCCGTGCAGGGACACTCTTGGAGCTGGCGATCAGATGCACAACGAACTCTGTGGCGCGCTTGCTATTGCAGCACCGGGTATACTTCAGCACCAGGGGCGTGATGTGGGGTGTTCGGTGGTCGAGAAGCAAGTTTGGGAACACTCCCAGGGCACAAGGTGGAACATGGTGGAACGGCGCGAAGATGACGTGAGTCAATAATAATATCCATCACCGTAATTCCATCATGTAATGTAAATGTTTCCCTTGGTGGGTTCTAGTTGTATAGTAGCGCTGAACGAATGGCAAACACTTGAGAAGATCGAAGGTGCGAGTTGTGAACCCTCGGAGGAGCAGCTGGCGCGGTTAGAAAAAGTTCCGTGGACAGGTGAGGCGTACTTTGTTTGCGCATGCGGTGAGCACCTGAAACTCGGGACCTTTATGTGTCCACTTTGTTGAAACATGTGGTCAACGCTGCTGACGCGTGGCGGTGTCCTAGGGAGGTTCTGTCGAAGTACAGATTTCGTGCCATTGATATTGAGCCGCCCGTGGTGGCCGCTCCCACGGTGATGCGGAGCAGGACGTGATGCCGATCGGCGCGGCCAACCCTGGAGGTCCCGCTCCGAGACAGGCAGAAAAACATAACAAATGTTTGACGAAGGCGAAAGGTCGTGTCAAAAAGGCGACAGACTATCACAAGCTGTGGACTGTCTCGTTTGGATCGCGGCGGTCGCGATTTTGGGAGGGATGGGGAAAGATGGGCCCGCCACTGCTGCCCACTTGGCGTGGGCCCCAGAGTTTGAAAAGCGTCAGCCAGTGGCTTGTTCTCCTCCAAGCATGAGGAAGTTTAGCCAGCTGGTTTAGAGGTTTCAGAATTACGCACAGCCGTTCTGCTTGGGAGCGACGACAAATTGGACATGATGTCGTGGTATCCGGAACTTTGTTCTTTGATCGACAAGAACCCACATCTTCTGGACGTCGGCCCCTGGGATTCCTTTGACTGGCATTTCACCAGTCCCGAGAGAGCGGGAGAATTCGATCGGGAAAATAAAGATTGGAACGCGTGGGCCGCTGGGCAACATATCGATTTGACCTTCGCGGAAATTATCGATGTGGCTCGTCATGCGAAATGTGAGAGGCTTGCATACTTGGAACCCCTTTTTCACAAAGGAAGACAAGCAGCCTTCAGGTTCAATGCGGCTTGCTCTAAGCTAGCTCAACATCATAGGGAAGGCGATAGCGGAAGCTATACCAAACCACGCTACGATTCACAGTAGGAAACACGTTGCCGATTGTCAAGATTTATTCCCGCTTGCTGGCCATTGGCCGGTCCAGGACTGTCCATCATCGGAAGATGCAGGGAACTCCCCATTCGGATGAAACGCATCGCGGATGGGTAGGCTGCAGCCGAGAAACCCAAAGTCGTAGAGCATTCTGCTCGCCAGCTTCCGACCGCGATAGCAGTGCATTGGCATCTGTCCGATGCTGACTAGTAGCCTGGGACGATCCAGCGAGTAATAGAAAAAAGAATCGGATCGTGATCGATCGAGTAGAAAAGAGCGTGGACCCTGGGTACCAGTAGACAGAGTGGCTTGCACGAGGCATCGTTCATGTCATCATGAATTTCTCCCGTATGTGCGTGTCTGTGTGCTGATCCTGGAGGACATATAGGTCATATGTTCCGCGATCATACTGCCAGTAAGGTGCAGGAGTTGTATGATGAAAGGTTGACCAGCGAATGCGCTATGGATCTAGCTTCGTTCGTGGACCTCATGATCTCTCCCTTGCTGGAAAGATTCAAGCTTGAATCGATCCATCCTGCCAGTGCTGCTGTACAAGATGTCCTTGACATCCTCTGTAAAACATTGGAATATCGATGATAAGAACCCGTCAGTGGACGCACGAGAGACAATTAACAGAGCACGAGACAGGCATGGTGCGTGGTTTCTCACGATCGCCATCTTGATGATAAAGAGCTATCCTGAGCTGGAGAGTCAGTCTCTAACTGAGCATGTTGCCTCCGCGTCGGCGGTTGGCAGGCCTGCGTTGTCTCTGCTTCCCCCGCCGGAGCGAGGCACGAAAAGTGATCAAGTTGGACTGGCGAAGCCTCCGCTGGAAAGTTTCAGACCCGCCCAACGAGGATGGTAACGGAGGAGGTTGGAGCTGGTCCAGCGACCCCTGGGAGAGCGATATAAGCAAGAACCGAGAGAAAGAAAAAGAGAAAAGGGGCAGCAGAGCTACCGAAACCGCAGAGCCGGTGGTGGCGACTAGACTTCGAGTGGCATGAGCAAAGAAGATGGAGCTGGCAGCGCCAGCGGTGCCACCTGGGGCTCAGGGAGCGGATGGCGCAAAAAGTAATGGAGGGATGAGTCTGGCAAGTCTTCGTGCACGGACGACTCGGAGAGGAAATGGGACAAGAAGGACAAGAACGACGCCTGGAAGAGCAGGCAATCGAGGTCGTCGCGAGCCGCGGGGTCGATCAGCGCTGGGGTGCCCCGCGGGCATGTCGAATCAATTAGGGGTCCGCCGGGCGACCCAGCATTCGCGGCTGTAGCGGGAGTAGGCACCACGCGGAAAGTAAGCGCTGTAAAACGTTTTTGGAGTCGGCGCTCCCGGACGCGGCGCGCCAGAGGCCAGCGCGCGGAGGTGTGGTCGCCCCAGCGCCCGACGCGGGGAGAACCGATTATTTCCGTTCCTGCCTGCGTTATAAAATCATCCATCCGCCCGCCGTTGCAGGCGTTTGTCCCGAGCCTTTCTGATATTCCTCAAAGGAGGTAGTAAATGGATTTCGGCGGAACGCCGTTCGCACCCAGCCGGGGGCAAAGAAGGACCGCGCGCGCACCGCTATGTCATCCGTCAGCGTCAAGAGAGAGAGAGAGAGAGAGCTCCTGTACAAGACCTCCATGACGTTCCCCCCCAGAGCTAGGAGAAGATGGAGAAGATGCATCACATGTGCCATTTTGTCTTGCAGGTAAGCTTGAACATCTGACCAAAAACATGATGAGGGAGGAAAGATATGAGGAAATGAAGACAGGAGGAGGATGAGGAGGAGGAGGAGGAGGAGGTGAACGGAGGAGGAGGAGGAGGAGGAGGAGGAGGAGGAGGAGGAGGAGAGTGTGCCGTCAGCCTGGCCGCGGGGGAATCAGGGGGGATGCGGAGGAGGGGGGGCGAGGAGGAGGGAGGACACAATCTTGCCGACGCTTGCAAGCTTAATGCTCTATGACCGCGAGGGTCCCCCAACATTTCCGCACCTTCTTCGCATCGCCCTTTCCAATTTAAATTGCCTGGTGAATAAAAGTTCGAACTGTTGTTCGCGCGCACATGTCGTTCTAAGGTATGTGTTCTCGCTGTTCGAAGTCCCCAAATGCTACGAAACCCGTCGCTCAGAGCTTGGCCAACAAAGGGGGAGGGAGAGGAGAAGGGGAAGGAGAAAGAGGAGGAGAGGAGGAGGAGGAGGAGGAGGAGGAGGAAGATGGACGTGGAGGGGATAGACGTGGAGGAAAGCGTGCCGTCGGCCGTGCCCAGTATACGCCTCGTGCCAGCTACCTCTTCGTCTTTGTCGTTTTCGTCGCCTTCGTCGTTGTCGTCGTTGCCGCCGCCGCCGCCGCCGTCGCCGTTGCCGTCGCCGTCGCCGTCGCCGACGCCGTCGCTGTCGGCGTCGCCCCTCGCCGCCTCCCGTCGCCGCCGTGGGCCGCGCCGAGGATACCCCTCGAGCCGCCGCCCGACGCGGCGGGGCCGCCTGGCCACCAGACCTCGGGGCAGGACATCCGCCGGCATTGTGGGGCGCATGCGGTGCGCCGCTGCGCCGAGCACTGCGCCCCCCCCTGCCCAGAGTTCGGATCCGCCGTGCTTTGGTTGACTTCCCGACTGAAAATGGTAGGGGTTTTGGCTTATAGTGTCGCTCCGCCGGTTCTGGCCCACCACGCTTCGGCGCGACACGCTATCCATATCCGGGTCCCCCAGCGTCAATGTCGAGAGTTTTTCCCGGAAAGGGCGCCGGCCCAGGGTTCTCTTTTAGTTGGTAAACCTAATCCCCCGGTGCCAACTTGAAGGAGGCCGGCGAATTTTTTCCCTGATAAATATCGAGGTCGAAGGAGGCCGGCGAATTAAAATTTGAGGATGTCTCGAGCGAAACGCTTGTTTTTGAAATCCCGATCGATAAATCACAGGGTGCGGGCCACTTTTTCGTGTGTTGAGGATGTCTCGAGCGAAACGCTTGCTCCGCAGAGTTTGCCGAGGATGTCTCGAGCGAAACGCTTGTTTTGCAGAGCCGACCGCGACGCGGAAAAGCGCCCCGCGCGAAGGAATTTCGATGATGTCTCGACTAATTCCTTTGTTTTTGTACGATTTCCTGGAATTTTGGCAGGATGTCTCGAGCGAAATGCACGACCCCACCCTAGCACGACCATACCCCAGCACGACCACACCCCAGCACGACCAGACCCCAGCACGACCCCACCCCAGCACGACCCCACCCCAGCACGACCATACCCCAGCACGACCACACCCCAGCACGACCCGACCCCAGCACGACCCTACCCCAGCAAGACCACACCCCAGCACGACCACACCCCAGCACGACCTCACCACAGCACGACCACACCCCAGCACGACCACGCCCCAGCACGACCACGCCCCAGCACACGACCACGCCCCAGCACGACCACCCCCCAGCACGACCGACCCCCCCCCAGCACGACCACCCCCCAGCACGACCACCCCCCAGCACGACCACACCCCAGCACGACCACTCCCCAGCACGACCACACCCCAGCACGACCACACCCCAGCACGACCACACCCAGTCGCACCCCCGTGGAATGTTTCGTGGCGTGTCTGGTTGAGTGGTTGCCTGTTCGTGGGGTGTCTCGTGGAATGTTTCACGGGGTGTCTCGTGGAATGTTTCGTGAGGTGTCTCGTGGAATGTTTCGTGAGGTGTCTCGTGGGATGTTTCGCGGGGTGTCTCGTGGGATGTTTCGTGAGATGTCGCCCAGTTGGGTATCGTGAAAACGTGACCATGCTGCACATGTCTTTATCCCTTTCCGGGTTCGTGGGTCCATCATGTTCCGAGCCTCCCTCCCCGCGGAACGTAGCGACGCGCTATCCGCTCGCATGGCAAAGCGTGACGCCGGGGCTGCTGCCGCGACGCGGTGGGCAAAAGTTCTTCATTCCAATTTTAGCAGTGCATCCCAAACGATGGAACAAATAATAGCGGAAATTTCCGCTGGGCGGGTATTTTCGCAAAGGTACGGCGGAAACAGCGGCGGCAAAGTAGGGCGGACATCGGTATCAAAGGAGTTCGGGAAATTTCCGCCCTACTGGCGACATCGCCAAAGGTACGGCGGGTCTGGAGTCAGGACCCCCCTTGCGGAGGACGCCCCGCCGGACGGGCTCGCGGTGTCCCAGCGGCCTCGCCAGTGCGTGTCCGCGAAGACGACGCCCCTGCTGGCACCGGCGCGCAGGGTTGGGGCGTCCCGCCGTCGATCGATCGGGGCCTGCTTCCCTCTTCATGGGCCCCTCGCGGTGGCCACGCCCGGATCCCTCTCAGAGTTTTCGGACCAGGAGGCGCCCCAGGTGCGGTCCAGTGACCGGTCGTCGTCGTCGTCGTCGCCGTCGCCGTCGCCGTCGGCGTCGGCGTCGGCGTCGGCGTCGGCGTCGTCGTCGTCGTCCGCCTCCCCCTCTGACTTGTCCTACTCCTGCTCCGCGTCGTTGCCATTGCCGTCGCAGCCAATCATCCCGCGCCTACCCCTCTGCTCGCAGGCCTCCTCGTGCAGTTCGGAGCGTGCCCTGCTCACGGCTGAGTGTTTGGCGCGTCTGGGCTCGGGCCTCTTGGTTGCGGCAAGGAACGGTCGCTCCTTCGTTCCTCACAGTAGCGCGATGGCTGTGGAGGCGCGGTGGCGGCGGCCGTCGTCTTCTCCTCGGGCTTCGCCGGCGTGGCCACGCCAGGCAGGATGGCGGCGAGCCCCGTCCCACGAAGCAGAGCGACACGCTACCAGCTGGCAAGGCATAGCTTGTCGCAGTGGCGGCCGCCGCGACACGCACCGTTTTGTATTTCTCTGTGCACACGGCTGCCGAAATCGTCTCCTGAAGAGCTTGTCACTGCCTGACATCCCCGTCTTTCTGCAGATGGCAGTGCTGGCGGTCGCGGGAGGGCCGTTGCACGTATCAGGCAAAGCTGAGTTCTGCCATACCGCCACGAGAGCTGAGGAGGCTCTGACTCCTAAGCTTTTTGATGTGCAGCCTAGGTTTCAGTTCGGTAGGGTCTGGGTTCATACCGCGTCAAGAATGTAATTGTTATTTCGCATTGTGTTCTGGTTCATATTATCATTCGGAGAGGCGCGAAGGCGTGCGAGTATAGTGCGCATTCATGCGGGGTGCGAGCCAAACACTGGGTGTTCTATCTCTGTTTGAGTATTTTATCAACGGGCCATGGGCTCGGAAAGCGCCTCGGCGAGGCGCCCTCTTACGCGGGCGCATGACCGCGCAAGCGCTCCACGGCCGTGCGGAGCGTGCGGCCGCGCGGGCGTGCGGGCACACGGTCGTGCGGAGCGCGCGGCCGCGCAGGCGCGCGGACGCGCAGGCGCGCGGGAGTGCGGGCGGGTACGCGGGAACGCCAGCGCGCAGGCTGAGCGCACGAAAACGCAAGAGCGCAGGCACTCGGCCGCACGCTCAGCACGTGAGCTCACGGAGCGTTGTCTCGGGGTTGCCTTGCCACCACGAGCGAGCTGAGGAAGGGTTGCTTGGGAATTGCCCGAGAGTTGCGCGCGAGCCCAGGGAACGCTGCCCAGGAGCTGCTCGGGGGCTGCGCGCGAGCTAGGAAGTGCCCTCTGGATGCTGCCCGGGCGTTGCGCGCGAGCCAAGAAAGCGTTGCGTAGGAACTGCCAGGAGCTGCGCACGAGCCTAGGAAGCGCTGCCTAGGAGCTGCCTAGGTGCTGCGCGCGAGCTCAGGAGGCGCTGCGTAGGAACCGCGCACACGCCACTTGCCCACGCACCGGGAATGGCCAGGAAAGCGCTCGCGGGACGAGCCAGCGGGCCCAGCAATGAGCTGCGGGGATGCCTGCGCGGCAGCCATAGACAGGAAGCTGGCCTCGCCAAGTTTGCTGGCTTCTTCTCTGGAGCTCTTCAGCTGTCACAGGGTGTTATCCGGGAAATCCGGCACACTTCTCACACGCTTCGTGCCCCCAGGGGGAGTTCCACAACAGGCCCCAGCGGCAGGGTGCGCATGGCGCCGCCGTGTTCATGTCGGCACACCCCTCGCACGTGTCATTGCCTCACAGGGAGCCCCGCCGAAGGCACCGGTGGGCTCGTTCGCGCGGTGGCCGCCCTTTATTTCAGTGGGCTCGACCGCCTGGTGGCCGCCCGTGATTTCGGGACAGCCCTTACACGTTCCGTGGCTGCATATGGAGCTCCACCGAGGGCCCCAGTGGCAACGGTTGCATGGCGGCCGCATTTGATTTCGGGACAGCCCTCACACGCGTCGTGGCCGCATAGGGAGCTCCACCGAATGCCCCACTGGCAGCAGTCGCGTGGCGGCGACACCCCATTTCAGCACACCCCTCACACGCTTCGTGGCTCCATAGGGAGCCGAGGGCGGAACACACGATTCGTGTACAACTGCATGTGGTTGACTTCCTCGCCATGCTAGTTTTCTATGCACGCAGATCGTTGATCGGGCTTTGCACGTAATCGCTGGACGACGACGACGACGACGACGGCGACGGCGACGGCGACGGCGACGGCGGCGGCGACGGTGGCGGCGAGGGCGAGGGCGACGGCGACGGCGACGACGACGGCGACGACGCCGACGACAACGACGGCGACGGCGACGGCGACGGCGACGGCAACGGCAACGGCGACGGCGACGGCGACGACGACGACGATGGCGACGACGACGACGACGACGACGACGACGACGACGACGACGACGACGACGACACGCGGGAGCGCGGGCCTGGAGGAACTTGCGCGCGCGGAGGAGGAGGAGGAGGAGGAGGAGGAGGAGGAGGAGGAAGAGGAGGGGGCGGAGTAGGAGGAGGAGGAGGAGGAGGGCGGAGGAGGAGGAGGAAGAGAAGAGGAGGAGGAGGAGGAAGAAGAAGAAGAGGAGGAGGAGGAGGAGGGGGAAACGGAGGAAACGTAGGAAACAGCACAAACGGAGGAAACGGAGGAGGAGGAGGAGGGGAAGGAGGGAAATGAGGAGGAAACGGAAGAGGAGGAGGAAACGGAGGAGAAGGAGGAGGACAAGAAGGTTGAGGAGAAGGAGGACAAGGAGGAGGACGAGGAGGAGGAGGAGGAGGAGCAGGAGGAGGATGACCAGTGTAAACCCAAGAGTCACCGACAATGTTGGAATCAATAAGCCCTCCTCCAAGCTCCATCTCCATAGGCCCCTACAATGGTTCATTTCCACAGAGGGACTTGCCTTTTTGGAAGACAACGTTTGAAGATTCTAAAGCATGCCAGAACACTGTTCCCGGGATTCTAACGCCACGGATAAACCTGACTGTTGCGTCTTGATGATCCTAAATCGCGCCAGAGTGCCATTCTTGAGACTTCAACACCGGGAATCACCGTAATTTTTGCGCCTGGACCATGGGAACCCGTGGAACTCTTGGATCTCTAAAGCAAGAATGCGCGCGGCGCTAAAGCGAGAGACACATTTTGAAAAGGAGCCGGCCTCCATTTGTGAAGTTTTGCACATTTTGAAAACGTATATGCGCGGCGCTATGGCGAGAGCCACATTTTGAAAACGACCCGCCCTCAATCCGTGAAGCTCTTGCAATGTTTAAGAACATGTGCGCGGCGCTAAGTCGAGAGCCACATGTTGAAAACTACCCGCCCGCAATCCGTGAAGCCCTTGCAATTTTTCCCGGAAAAGGCATCAGCCCAGGGTTTTCTTTTAGTTGGTTTACCTCCGGGTTTGACTTCAGGTGGGCCGGCGAGTTTCTTTTGCGATAAATATCGAGGTCGAGGTGGGCCGGCGAATGAACATGTGAGGATGCCCCTAGCGAAACGCTGGGTTTTTTAATCGCTATCGATAAATCACAGGGTGCGGGACACGTTTTGGTCAGAGGCATGGATTACGTAATGCTTATAGATTGGCCCCATCCAGGGGTACGTATCTGTTTGTTTTTACGTATGTTCCTATAGATGGGCCCTCTCGTTACCTATAGATTGGCTCTCTCCAGGGGCACGAATACGTGTGTTTTTCCCGGAAAGGGCGCAGGCCCAGGGTTCTCTTTTAGTTTTGTTCCCCCCGGTTTTGACGGCTGTAGGGCCGGCGAATTTCTTTTGCGATAAATAACGAGGTCGCGTAGGGCCGGCGAATTAAAATCTGAGGATGTCTCGAGCGAAACGCATGTTTTTAAGAATTTGTTGAGGATGTCTCGAGCGAAACGCTTGTTTTGCAGAGTTGGGGATGTCTCGAGCGAAACGCTTGTTTTCAGAATTTGTTGAGGATGTCTCGAGCGAAACGCTGGTTTTGCAGAGCTGACCGCGACGCGGAAAAGCGCCCCGCGCGCAGGAATTCCGAGGATGTCTCGCGCGTGCCGCGTCCCGCGCGCAGGGATTTTGAGGATGTGTCGACTAATTCGCTTGTTTTGCCAGGATTTCTTTGGATTTTGACAGGATGTCTCTAGCGAAACGCTTGTTGTTTCAACATTTGTTGAGGATGTCTCGAGCGAAACGCTGGTTTTGCAAAATTGGGGGATGTCTCGAGCGGGGGCCTCGCGGGGGGCCTCGTAGGGGTCCAGAATTCAGAGGATGTCTCAGGCGAAATGTTTGTTTTCACGTCCCGCTCGCAGGAATTCCGAGGATGTCTCGCGCGTGCCGCGTCCCGCGCGCAGGAATTCTGAGGATGTCGGCAGGATATCTCGAGCGAAACGCTTGTCCCCAGCACGTTCCGTAGCGCGTCCCCTTGGCACGTCCCGCTGTGCGTCCCCATGGCACGTCCCTTGGCACGTCGCTTGGCGGGTCCCTTGAGACGTTCCGCGTCGCGTCCTCCTGGCATGTCCCCCTGTCAATTAGCTCTGGGGCAGCTACTATGTGCTGAGGCAGCTCGAGCTTAAGATCCAGATCAGTTCGGTCAGGACTCGGATGCAAAGGAGGACTCGATCCACGACGCTATAGAGCACAATCGAGGCATAACACATCGCAATTCAGCACGGCGCAGCACAGCACAGATTTCGGCACGGTACATCAAGATCGATACACTCAGCATTGCAACTTGGCACGTCCCTTGGCACGTTCCGTGGGGCGTCCCTTGGCGAATCCACCTGGAACGTCGCGCGGCGCGTCCCCTGGCACATCCCGTGGCACATCCATTGGCACGTTCCGTAGCGCGTCCCCTTGGCACGTCCCGCGGTGCGTCCCCATGGCACGCCCCTGGCACGTCGCCTGGCGCATCCCTTGGGACTTTTCGCGGCGCGTCCTCCTGGCATGTTCCCCTGTCAATTAGCTGT